GACATTACTTCCTGCTCACAACAAAGTGCTGCTGTGAGCATTGTTAATATCAGAGAGAGCAGAACTCTATCGGGCACAGTGAAAGTCACATCGCAGTTGATCAGTAAAGATTTAATACGTAAAGATGGACAAAATAATGGTGGTCTCCATGCTTGGCTCAAAAATGAGGATGAGAAGCAATGTTATGAAAATAAGTTTCCTAATCAGGAACCTGTGAGAGTTTTATTCAAAGCGCTCAATTCCTCAAGATATGACACATCAGTCTCCAAATAAACAGGAAATAAATGAGGAAGGAAAGCCTCGTTGAATCACAGGAGAAATATAGCTTTCTACATCTGAAATCCAAAGAAAACACTGTTGGTGACGAAAACACTTTCTGTGAATGTATTCATCTTATTTTCTATTGGTTTGTCAGATTGAGTTTCTCATACAGCAGTCAGTGGTCAGATCAGAGCCACATCATACAGCTACTTAGCTTATGCACGCTTTGCAGGCAGATTCAATAAGTCCATGTGATCATTCACACCCTCTTAGACTGCTTCTGAGATGGTTTTACGTAACAAATCTACAGTCAGAAGATGAAGGAGGGAAGGAAGAAGCAGAGAGGTGATATTACAAGATAGAAAGTAGATGATTTATAAAGAAGAAGAAGAGTGTCAGTAGGTGTTTGGAAGCACGTAGTTGGAGCTCCAAGAAATCCAAAGGGAAGAGCATTTCATTGAACACAAAGTCTGAAACCCCTCACTAATGCTCTGAGGGAACTCTGATTAACACATGGTTTAACAAAGGAAAGCTGAACCTTCTTTGCCTGATGAAGAAGAGAGTTAGGCACATGTTCCTCCCCTCTGCCATCCATGTCTGCAGTTTGTATTTATCACTCAGGGCTGGAGGCAGGGCAGAGAGTGTCGGGTTTCTGTGTGTGTGCTCATGCTTTCACTTGGCTGTACACTCACAGATGAGAACACAGCCCTCCCATATTTAAAACTGTACTCCAATCCCTTCACACACACTCAGCGAAGAACTGTGGTAAACATGGGAAAGACCAGTTTGCCGAGACGGGTTTTTCGTCTTTGAAAGAAACAGCTACTATGAAAAAGTGATTGGTTGCACAAGTTTGTGGTATGTTCTCATGTTGTGTTCTTTTTTGGGTTTAGTGTAGAAGAAGTAGTACTGTGTTGATGAATAAAGTGGGCTGTTCCTTCCCTCTCTGTTGAGCTGCCTCCCCACAATCCAACATGTATTAGTATGCAACTTTTCCGATTTACATAGTCAAAACATTCTCAGAATACTGTGTTATATAGTCACTAGTTATTTATGCTACATTAATTTGACAAGCTACAGTAATCACGACCTTACAACTTATAAGAGACGTCCAAAGAATAAATCATATTAACCGGGAAACGTTTCCTTGAAAATCCAATAACTCCAATTTGGCACCTCGTAACGTAAAAGGGTTTGCATTAGTAGTTTTCTGTGTCTTTAGCCATCACTCGGTCAACAGTTCAATCCTTCGAGTTGGCAATCTTTAATGTTTTAAAAGAAGCCCTGTTATGTGTTTTTGGGGTCTTCTCTCTCTTGTTTCTGCATGTAAATGGTCTGCAAAGGCTGAAATCCCTGAGTTTCTCTCCCACAATTGTAAGAATCTCTTTCCTAAGTCGTTGTACTTATCAATGTATTAACGTCAGCAGAGGCCTGATCAGCCAGAATAACACCAAACATCTTGTGGGGGTGTTCAGAGTCTTTTACTAATTAAAGGTATTTATAGTGAGGTGTCACCAACACCCCTGTTCCACTGTTGTTTTGCTGCTAGTGTTAAAGGGATTTTATGTGAGTTACAGCTATTAAAAGGCATTTTATAATACTCCGTGGAACCATAGGGGATCATGAATCTTCCAGCTGCTTACACCTGTGCAGTCCGCAGCAAAAAAGAACAGGATTTCTTTATATATTTGCATTTTTGAAGTTCAGTGTCTTCAGTTGTTAGCTTGGGTTTCAGATAGAGATAGCGTTATGACAAGGTGCCTCGCCCTTGCAGGAAGTGTGCCCCTGTAATAATAATTCTATTTGAATCTGCCTCCTGAGGGTCTGTGTCCTGGATTATCAAATATGAAGAATGCTGCTCTGGAGGGAAGCTGAGAAACATTGAATCAGTGCAGTTTAAAGAGACAGAACTCTGCAAAACCGTGATAGAAACTATAGAGCCGTGTTAGTAGATTCACAACCTCCAGAAAGTGGATTTTGTGTGATTTTAATACTAAGGTAGCATGTGTTCAAAGCTACATAAGGCTTGGATAATCTGCATAAATCTATAGCAATATCCATGCTGATAGTTTTCATTCGATTTGTTTAGGTTTAAGCGATTCAAATTAATGGAATAAATGAAAAAAAATATATATTATTATTTGGGTATAGATTAAACCTTTCATATGTATATGTTTTATTAGAAAGTATGTGCTGAAGTGTAAGAATAAAGATATATAAGCATGCAAAACAAGTGCATAAGCATGTTCTAGAATGTTGCCGGGCAGAACAGGTTTATTGTTTTTATTATTATGGGAAAAATGGCATCTCATTATTATTTGTGAGTTTTAAAGGGCCAGCTCTCCTGTTAAAGAGAGGAATGTGTGTGAAAAAGCCCTTAAAAAAAAAGAAACTGAGAATGTTGACCTACAGCTTGTTGACATCGCCATGGTAACAAAGGCCAGCTGTTTAGGAATGGGAGGGATTTTGTTCTTATTGACCCAGTCTTGCACTCAAAAACGGTTAATGTTGAAAAGACTGGTTGCTCAATAACCTTTTTTTTTGCACCATGGGAAAAAGTAAAAATCTGTGCACGTTTCAAGCTCAGCTGGGAGCATATTCCATAGGGTTAGGGTTAGGGTAGTGCTTTATGGCTGTAAAAGAGAAAGCACATTGTGCAAAGGCAGTCAACCTCACTTGGATGTATTAAGTCTGAGTTTAGCGCAGATCTTGAGGCTCAAAAGCCATTGAGAAGTATACAAAAAAGCTTTTGAATGGCAGAGAAGCAGCATTGTGTATTGTGATTCTGTCCTGAAGGGAAGGTTGCTGGTTCTTCCTGAATGAGACAGTGTCAGGAGAGGACTGTCACTTCTCTCTCTCAGTGTTGTTAGAGGAGCAGCGGGCTACAACCTAAAGGTCGCAGGATCAGTGTGAGTCTTGCTTCAGGTCAGCGTGTCCCTGAGCGGAGCTGCTGAAAGTGTCCCCGCTCTGAATGAAGCCTGCATGGAAACATGTGCTCTGACCTTTAGGTTTATTCCCCTTGTGCCCAAACTGATGCACAAAAGCACTGAAGCTAGAGAATCTGGCAAACAACAAGCATTTACTCGAAAATGTCAAATGTTATCTAGTGAGGACACACCTTCAATTGAAGTTGCTTTAATTCACATGCAGCTACATTTGTGTCACTTCAAAGTGTCTGTTGGAGGTCGTCATTTCAATGGCTCCAACTGACGAAATTCATCTTCTGTCTATGACTTAAGTTGACTCAAACAAATGTACAGGCGTGCTTCAGAAGTGTTTACAATCAGTTATTTATTCGAGAGTCTGCAAAGACCGTCAAATAAAACCCATACGATGCAGTTAGGAAAACAAGCTGACAGTGTGCCATTTGTTTTTGTGGGTTTCTTTAAGATGTAAAGGTTTTATTGTCATATGCACACTAGCAACAGATGTAGAATGTAGATTTGGAAATGGAAATCTGAAGTCTCAGGCTCTTCCAACAGTGCAACATACAATATACTTAAGACAAAAAGAAAATACATAAAACAGGCTCGAATACTATTTAGTTTACCATTTAAGTATTGGTGACATACAGTATCAAAACAAAAAACATACGTACTGTAACATATATGATAGGAACAGATCCTCTTAAAAGAACCACTTCATAATCCTTTACATTTATGTTTGAATGATTATGAATATTATAGTGCTAAAAATAATAAGTCCCTGCAATATTGTGAACAATAGCATGATTGCAACATCAGTTGAAATCTCATTCATTCACACAATTTGTCCAAATCATGCAGCCCTAACAGGTTGTTTCTTCAGTTGGAAGGCGCGCTTTATTTCTCCATCAGGCTGATTTTGTATTTTTCTACAATGATCTGGCCGCTGACACTCAAAGACATCTTTATCCCATTCGGACAATCAGCTGAGCTCAGGGATGAAATCAGAAGAACACGGGAAACCGACTTCATTTTGACTTTCGTATTTAGAGTTTCACGGACTGTTAACTCCTGCAGGTGGATCTCCATGTTAGCATGATATCTGCTCGTCTGCACACGTTAATATGTGAATGTGTCGGGGGGGCATGTGCTGTTATGCATTCACAAGGCGCCACATCCACAAGCGTTGTTTGAATCTGATTAGCTTTAATAATAAAAGCGACGCGCTGCATATTCTTCAGCCCCCGTCTCGTCTCGTGCCAAGGCGGTGACGAGGACCAGATTCCTCGGGCCTGACGCTGAAATTAGATCAGACCAATCTGGAGAGAGTGTTTAGAGGCTCGCTCAAACGGACGCGCGGAGAAAGGGGGGAGATAACGGATTCATCAGATTATGGAAATAATTAGTTGTCATGGATATCAGTCAACGTTTGATGCCGCTGGATTTATGCAGCTCGAGGAGGCTTCGGATGGTCGGTTGAGAGGGGCGGTTGAGAGGGGGGGGGTTGGATGGAGACAAATGATTCTGCTTTGGTGTAGTGAGGCGGCACCAGCCTGCATCTGTTCTGTCAGACAGTGATTACTGACAAACACTTCCAATTCACAGTTTGTGTTGGATGAGAAACGACTTTCCCTTTAAAACAACCATAACATTGCCAAAAAACGAGAAAAATGCAGGAAACACGAAGCGGGCATGAGGGCAAAGGTTCAAACAGACCAATAATGCATACTGTGGCTTTTTTAATATAAAATGAATGTAAACAACATGCCCTGCTGTAGCTCTCTCTGACTTCCTGTTTCCTGTTTCCTGCTGCAGAGGAAGGCGAGTACTTCCTGAAGGTTCTGATTCCCAGCTATGCGGCGGGCTCTATCATCGGTAAGGGAGGTCAGACCATCGTCCAGCTGCAGAAAGAGACCGGAGCCACCATCAAACTGTCCAAATCCAAAGACTTCTACCCAGGTAAGAAACCACAACCCCCCCACTGCTGCTTTGGCAGTTTGGAGTAATGATGGCACAAAAACGTCATCCTTTGACACTTTGACACTTTTAATTACTACTTTGTAATCTAAAGTATTCATTCACATTAATTATTATTTTAAATCAGTTCAGTTATATTCTAAATTCATTTTCGGTCAATACAATTTCAAAAATTTGTAAAGAAAATCCCATCCCAGATTGTAATACCCAACATATTTAGTTAAATGTAATAAAAAACAGAGAAAAGTTGGAAATCTCCATATCTGAGACGTTGAAATAAACATTTTCTGTCATTTTAGCATGTAGTGTAGAAATACAATAATGATTTCAATTATTTTCAAATGAGTTGGCAAATATCTCTCTATTGATCGACTTCATGTTGCAGCCCTATGCTGCAATCCTCAGCTCTATATTTTTCTTCACAGTGTTGAAGTGTCACAAGGTGCCATTTTGCTTCATCATGAGAACAATACATATACATTTGAACAGCGACAGATGGATGAATGAGGTCATTGGTGGATGAATGAGAAACATTGAAAAACAGTCGCTGAAGAGAAATATGAAATAATTGATGTATGGATGAATGGAGAAGTTTATCCATAAAAACATTTGCTGTATCCACCTGTCCTTGTGAAGGAAGTGAAGGATGGAAGGAGTGTGTATGAATAGATGTGCAAAGTGTTTCGACCCATTAAGGGAACGTTTTATTATCTCAGTCATCCATCAGTTTATCATAATGATAACACACATAAAGAGGCTGTTTATTCTGATGCTTAGGGGCATCTCCTGAGTTTCCTTCAGATCAGACCTGCTGACCTCCTGCTTTTTGTTGGCATCCACAATTAGAGCCTCATTCCAGCGCTGCGGGTCAGATTGATGGATTTATAAAGGCTGAGGTCCCTGTTTGTATGTATGTGTGTGTGCGTATATGTGTGTGTGTGTGTGTGGGGCCTTAAAACTTTGTGTTGACAGACATTGTGAGTCCTGAGGGACAGAGGGGCCTTGACTGGGCTCACGTTGCACCCCCCACCAACACACACACACACACACACACACACACACACACACCACACACACACACACACACACACACAAACACACACACACACACACACACACACACACACAGATCAGGATTACAGGATCATAGGTGAAATTGTGTTTGTCTAAACTCTTAAATCTGCCCTGAGAGCAGAGAGGAGGGGGAGGAGGGGATCTGGGTGTGTGTGTGTGTGTGTGTGTGTGTGTGTGTGTGTGTGTGTGTGTGTGTGTGTGTATGTGTGTGGTGTGTTTGTGTGTGTGTGTGTGTGTGGTTGTGTGTGTGTGTGTGTGTGTGTGTGTGTGTGTGTGTGTGTGTGTGTGTGTGTGTGTGTGTGTGTGTGTGTATGTGTGTGTGTCATCCTGTGAGTCAGAGGTTTTGGTTGTTTGAGCTGTGTAAGAGAGGAAATGGATTGAATCCTGCTGTTTGTAACTACACACATGGACATTGTGTGACATTAATACTAAATATAAAAACCTTATTTATTTTCTGCCTTTTTATTTTGCAATTAAAGATGTGCATGTAACATCCTTAAAGTACACATAGTTGTGCAAGGATGTTAGGTTCAGAACCTTGTTTCAACCTTTTTTCAACCTTTGTTGAACCAAGACCACAATGTTTTCTTACTCTCAAACGACTGCTTAGAGTTGTCTTAACACAACCATAACAATGATTCATGCTTTGGTTCCCAGGAGTGGATATTGTGGTACGGTCAGTGCCTCTGTATCAGGTACAGCAAATGTTTTGTCCCTGTGTCTACCTAAAATCAATTCAGACATCATGACACAATTCCATCAGATTAATGATAAAAACCTAGAGGACATTATTCGACTTCTGAAATCCTCCTCCTGCTGCCTTGATATTATTCCAACAGGATTTTTCAAACATGTTTTTCATTGCATGGCCTCAGATCTACTTCACATAGTAAACAAGTCTCTTCACTCAGGTGTTTTTCCACAGGCCCTAAAAACTGCAGTCATCAAACCGCTCTTAAAAAATAATAATCTAGATTCTTCAGTAATGAACAATTACAGGCCAATATCAAACCTGCCATTTCTAGGTAACATCATTGAAGAAGTTGTTTTTCAACAGCTGAGTAATTTCTTGCATTTAAATAACTGTTTCGATGTGTTCCAGTCAGGCTTTTGACCAAACCACAGCACTGAGACTGCTCGTATAAAGGTCTTCAATGACATCCACTTAAACACAGACAGTGGCAGAACTTCAGTGTTAGTATTATTAGATCTCAGCGCTGCGTTTGACACTGTTGACCACAACATATTACTAGACCGACTGGAAAACTGGGTGGGACTTTCGGAAACAGTTCTAAATTGGTTTGAGTCCTACTTAAAGGACAGAAACAACTTTGTTTCTATAGGTAAATACACATCTGAGTTGACAAATATGACATGTGGGGTACCTCAAGGCTCCATCTTGGGGCCTCTTCTCTTTAACATCTACATGCTACCACTGGCTCAGATAATGAAAAACAACAAAATAAGTTACCATAGCTATGCGGATGACACCCAAATTTACATAACCATTTCACCAGGAGACTATGCTCCAATTCAAACACTGAGTAAGTGCATTGAACAAATCAATGACTGGATGTGTCAGAACTTTCTCCAATTAAACAAAGATAAAACTGAGGTAATGGTTTTTGGAGCCAAGGCAGAACGTATAAAAGTTAGCGCTGAGCTTCAGTCTGCAATGTTCAAAACAACAGATGAAGCCAGAACTCTAGGTGTAGTCATGGACTCTGACCTGAGTTTCAACAGTCACATTAAAACAGTTACTAAATCAGCCTACTATCACCTTAAGAATATATCTAGGATTAAAAGACTAATGTCACGGCAGGATTTGGAAAAACGTGTCCATGCTTTTATCTTCAGTAGACTCGACTACTGCAATGGTGTCTTTACAGGCCTCACTATTAGAAAGCTGCAGCTGATTCAGAACGCTGCTGCTCGAGTCCTCACTGACACTAAGAAAGTGGATCACATCACTCCTGTTCTGAAGTCTTTACACTGGCTTCCTGTTTGTCAAATAATTGATTTCAAAATATTGCTGCTGGTTTATAAAGCTTTCAATGGTTTAGGCCCAAAACACATTTCTGACCTACTGCTAAATTATGAACCATCCAGATCTCTCAGGTCTTCAGGGACTGGTCAGCTTTCTGTCCCCAGAGTCAGAACTAAACATGTAAAGCAGCATTCAGTTATTATGCTCCAAATATCTGGAACAAACTCCCAGAAACCTGCAGGTCCGCTGCAACTCTTACTACTTTTAAATCCAGGCTGAAGACTTTTCTTTTTGCCGCTGCTTTTAATTGAACTATTCATATCTTAAACTGCACTGTAACTTTTATTATCTTTGCTTTTTAATGCCATTTTCTTAATGTCTTTCATTTTTGTAAAGCACTTTGAATTGCCTTTTGTTGAGTCCCCCCAAAGGTAGTTAAAGTCATTATTGGGGTTAAAGTCCCCTACGTGTGCCGTTTTGGTTTCAAGACCCTGGTTCGCGGAGTACACCCAAAAAATCCTAGAAAAGACAACTTAAACTTAACTAATGTGCCTTTAAAGAAAAGAGGAATAGTTTCGGCGAAAACTAAAAGGTACCATGGGGTCAGATTATAATTTTCCAAAGGGGGGTTCGTTCAGATGTGTGTATCTCACACTGCACTGTAACTGTAATTCATGTATCTTTGCTTTTAAATTAGTGTTTTTAAATGTCATTTTATATCATTGATTTTAAATGAGTGTTTTTAGATATCATTTCATAATATGTTTCTTAAATGCTATTAATGTCCTTCATTTTTGTAAAGCACTTTGAATTGCCTTGAAATGTGCTGTATAAATAAACTTGCCTTGCCTTACAGTTAGGTACATTATTAGTGAAGGTTTTGTTTGTAAAGACATCCAGAAAAAGTACTCTTCCATAACTGAGAAATGTGAAATATAACAAAACATAACTGCGGTTTGACTCCTCTTCTGTCTCCTCTTTGCTAAACCTCAAACCACGGGGGAAAACAGCGGCTAGGTCAGATGTTAGTGCCTTCATGGTTCAGCGGTGTGTTTTCAGGGGCAGGTGACTGAGTGTAGTGTAGCATATTTATATGACCCAAATCTGTTACTACGACGTGTCCTTTTCTCTCAGAAATAATATTGTTCCAGGGCTCCTGTAAGAGGTGAAATTACAATCACATTCTGAACCGAGTCTCAGCAGCACGATGTTTAACTCTCAGAGACCCTCAGTGTTGTCGTAGCGCCCGCAGAGTCTCTGATGTAATTGCTGCCCCCCCCGAGCCAATCACAGCAGGACGTTTCTCCATCTTGGCTGAAGACTTGTCGGACACACAGTGTGCCGCTTTTAAATACGTTTCAGAGCTCCAGCCTGGGATTCATGTCGCTCATTTATGATGGCTCTGTGTGCAGAGAGCTGGGAATACATATTCTAATGGGGTAGAAGAGAAGAAAAGTTGTTTTTCTCATAAAATTGTGTTGGTGTGTATAACATAACTGTGCTTGCAGACTCTCTGAAGACAATCCTAAAGAAATATAGTTAGAAAATATAATGCAAATAGAAAAAAAGCTTTGTTTAAAAAAAGATATTTTTACAAATGTAAGCAATTTTTTGCGCTTGGACAGAGAAAAGCTTTAACAAAAATAAAATGCAGTTCTGGTGCCTTGTTTTACTCTAAATTAGATTAAAAAAAACATCTCAAATTGTTGCCAGTGTGAAACATAAATTCAAGGATGATGCATTTTGGAAATGACAATCACTCAACTTTGTGAAGTGTTTTCCTGGGAAGCTTAATTTAACATCGTACCCTGTGTTCATCCCAGCCGCAAAAGCCCCTTATTCCTCTGCTCTAAACTCCACAACCATCTCCAAGTATTTATTTGGTTAGAAATGCAGCTCTCATTCGTGTTGTGTCGGTGTG